GTGGCGGTAGCGTTGTTGTCCAAAATGCTGCAGAGAGCTTCGGTGATGCTGTTGTTTCTCATGGTGTCCAAAATGCCGCAAAGAGCAACGGCAACGTCGGTGTTAGTAACGGCCATGGTAATGTGTAACCCGACAGATGGCATGATAAATAATGTAAGTCATGAATATTGTGACGGTCTAAATTACCCAGCCAAACATAAATCTCATTGAAGGATTAATAAAAGTATATTTTAGTAAAATACTATTTTCTTCTCCGTAGGTTGGCTTTGTTCATTTTAGTCTTTATAGTTCTTTAAGACTTTTAAAAAATAGCTTGCATCATCTTCTCTACGTAGTATGAAACTTGCATTGAGATAAACACCTAGTGGATTTTTGTAACCAAGATTCGTTGTTTATTTAGAGAAACAGAAGGGCCCAACACAAGACTTCTCTAAGACTCTTAAAAAATGAAACTTGCATCGAGATAAACAGCATCATCTTCTCTACGTAGTATGAAACTTGCATCGAGATAAACACCTAGTGGATTTTTGTAACCAAGATTCGTTATTTATTTAGAGAAACAGAAGGGCCCAAGACAAGACTTCTCTAAGACTCTTAAACTTGCATCGAGATAAACACCTGCGAGATAAACACCTAGTGGATTTTTGTAACCAAGATTCGTTGGTTATTTACAGAAACAAACTTGCCGAGATAAACACCTAGTGGATTTTTGTAACCAAGATTCGTTGGCTATTTAGAGAAACAGAAAGACCCAACAGAAGACTTCTAGGACCCAACATAAGACTTCTATGAGGCTCTCAAAAAAGACCCAACATAAGACTCTTAAAAAATGAAACTTGCATCGAGATAAACACCTAGTGGATTTTTGTAACCAAGATTCGTTGGCTATTCAAAGAAACAGAAGGACCTAACACAAGACTTCATGATAGGTGATATCACAAAGACTCACGCTACCAGAAATCACGGCTAATGACAAATTTATTACCTATTTCTGTAATAATTTTCTAATGCATTATTTAAAAAAAAAAACCCTCATGACTACATGTATAAGTTTAAAAGTTACGAACTTAAATACGAAAACAAAATTAAGGAGATTTATTTTAGTCCTTATATTTTCAACCATGTTCGTTTAGTCTTCATACTTTTAAAACTTCTATTTTGGTGGCTCTACTGAATAATTCGACCTCTATTTGGCAAATTTTTAACAAAAATTTTAAACACTAGAAACCCAAAATGAAAACGAATGAGTAAAATGATCCTCCCTTAAATTAAAATGAACCAAATTTAAAATGATAAGGACTAAAATAGACGTTGTAATTGAACCAGAGAATTAAAGTTGAATAGTATTTAAACCAAAAAAAATACCTATAAAAAAGAAAACCTATCAGGATAAAACCTTATTGGTACACATGTGTGGACAGCAGGAATTCTTGGTCTACAACTAAGAATGATTGGTGATTATGCCCTTAAAATCCGTATTCATACAAAACTGTGAACCAAAAATATTTGAAGCAGTCTAAATTTGTTGAAATTTTCTAAATATAACTTCCCATCAAACAAGTATATATAGGGCTTCCTATGCCTGAAATTCTCAAGCACCCACAGCTCCTCCATAACTGCTCTGTGAAACCAGCTTGTGCCTGAAACCTTAAGACATCTACTTCACCATAGCCATGGCAATGGGAGGAGGCTCTAAGCTTTTTCACACTATTTTCTTAGTGTTCGTTTGGCAGTTTTGTGGGGAGGTGGGTGCCACTTTCAATGATGTCACCGGCGTTGCAAAGGCTGGCCTCCGTGAGTCGTTTTCCTTTCGTGCATTTGGGCCACATGGTGGAGACTCGCARAGTCCTACAGAAGCACCGATGCAAAGTCCTACAGAGAAGTCCAAGATTGCTCTTGTTGCCCCATTTCATTCCATGCTGATGGACAATGGTGGTTTTGGTGTCGGGGTTCTAAAGGGCACCCGTGGTTCGAAAACTCTAAAGGGC